TGTTTGGACATAATTAATAGTGTGGAGTGATTATCAGTATCATCCTTCATTGCAATCTTCAAATCAAATTACTTGTATACTTGTTTCTTAAATATTATATTTAAGAATATAAACATTTAATATTTATAATATAGAGAAGCTTAATAAAATAATACATTTAATATATTAATTTTTTATTAAATATTTATTTATAAATTTATTAGAAGAAATTTCAATGATTATGTAGACACATGCACGCATACATACAATCATAAAAGTTTTAAATAATTAAAAAATAAACTGCAAATAAAAATATGAACGCACACAATGAATATTATCTGACCCTAACATTGAGATCTTATCAAACATTGTTGAGAAATTGAGTTGTCTAGCAAAATAAACACAACACAAATATATGAAAATAAGAAAAAAAAAAAGATTAATCTACCTTGGATTGTTTGAAAACTAAAACACAAAATTTTTTGTATCTGTTTTGATGAAGTATGACATTTATTTTTCAATCAGAAGTTTATTTACAAGAGTATTCTCTATGGGGTAAAATAAATTCTCATTGGGTCCACCTACCCAGGCAGGAAAGAGTGAAAGATAAAATGTTAAGAACAGAAGATATATTTTTTTGTCTCTTTGCAAACAAGTCAAAGTCTTGTTTTCTTCTGATACCTACACTTCCATCTTTACCAAAATACATTACCATGAGTATTTTCTACTTATAAAGATTTTTCAAAATGGTATTCTTTATTGAACCTGCTAACCCCAATAACATTGTAACTTAACTATCACCACATTATTTACATTATTCGGACTATTGTCCTCATCTTTGTCGCCATATTTATCACAACGTTTTGGCCATTGTACGTTCGGCCTTCTTCAGGTGGTTGGAATGTCGAGACTGGTATTTTTATTTCACTCACTGGGGTGAACTTTTCTAGTTCCATGTGCCATGTTTAATGGGTGTCAGTTATCAGTTATCTCCTGTTAATTTCCCTCTGAAAGTTCTCTACTGCCTTAACCGGGTATTGAACTCACACTCTTACACATGGCACAGTGGATAAAGGCGTTGGTTAGATCCAGTGACAGGACCCAAAGAGTGTAAGTTCAATACCCGGTTAAGGCAGTGGAGAACTTTCAGAGGGAAATTAACAGGAGATAACTCATAACTGACATCCATCAAACATGACACATGGAACTAGAACAGTCTACACCAGTGAGCGAAATAAAGGGTTCAGTTCAACATTCCAACCACCTGAAGAAGGCCGGAGTGTACAATGGCAGAAACATTGTGATAAATATGGCGACAAAGATGAGGACAATAGTCCGAATAATGTAAATAACGTACATAATACCTCATCTCAGAAATACAGACAGACTTTCACCATCACCATTTAACATAAATAATATTTCAAAATTTCAAATTCACTAGAAATATAGATAAATATCAATATGACAACATTTACCTATACCTTATTAAAAAAAAGAGATCAATAAACAGCAGAAAATGAATAATAATCATTTTAATGAAACTGCAACTACATAAATATATACATGAAACATTAAAATATTTACACAAACTATAAAATATACCAATGCAGCCTTATAAACATGCATACATACATACATACATACACACCAAGCATTAAAAATATATACACATAAAAATCCAAAAATATATACTAAGCCCAACATATAACATATTATGCACACTTATTATTCAGGTACATATTTCAAACATTGGCATACTTATATATAAAAATACCAGATAGTATTTATCTTAACATACAGATTAATATGATAATTAGCAATGAAAATACTAATACTGCTTTGTTGCAAAGGAGGACATGTCTAAAACTTACTCCATGCACTGTTTAGTGTTCACATGAAAAATTTAGGATCATATAATATGATAACATGATAAAGAGTACGAAAAGTAGAATCAGTTAATGAATTTATTTAATACAATTTGGAGATACATCAATGTGAATACTACTTTTACATGTTGATGTATATCTGTGTATGATAGCAATGCAAAATTGATGTGTGTATGTATATATATATATATGATATATGCAAAATTGATGTGTGTATATATATATATATATATATATATATATATATATATATACATAGGTGTGTATGTATACATACATATAAGATATATGCAAGATGCACACACACACATGTATATATACATATATATACATGTGTGTATATATGTATACATAAGATATATGCAAGATGCACACACACACACATATATATATATATATATATATATATATATATATATTCTACATTCAACACCATCCTTGATAAGACACCAAAAGTGTTGAAACAAAATGGCTATTTTTGTAGTGATTTTATAACATATTCATGTTATAATTTTTTAATAAATTATATATATATATATATATATATATATATATATATATATATATATATATATATATATATATATATGTCTTGTGGCTAAAATGACTTTTCTGTTCATTTTAACATGTACATA